GAAGGTACAATTCCACTTCGTTGTGTCATTTCTCGTGTTAACTCAAAATAGATTGTCGGGAAAACAAAATCATAACCTAAATCATTTGGTGCATTATAAAATATAAATAGAACTGAAATAAAGGAATGCATAGGCAAAGTTAAAAAATTAAATAGCCGGGCACGTAATCCCACGTCACTCCATATCAAGTACCATGCAGACATTTGGCCGAAAATTATCCCAGCATAGGATCTAGTTAAATAGCTATTTCGTTATTGTGCGCTTTATCATTTAATTTCGATGAAGCTTTAAACTGAAAGTTATGAGATCATGTTCGCAAAAGATCTGTTCATATAACGACTTTATTAATAAGTGGATTTTTACATTTCAATTCTGAAAAGAACTATTTATGTTACATTAGTATTATTCCGGCAAAGACAGGTGCCCTAGAATAGCTGTTTCTGGTTTTATTGGCCATCGTTAGCTAGAGGTAGTCAATTCTAGTGTAGCCGCTGAAATTGCTGCCACACTCGAGTTTCGAACTTGTGTCTCGTCGCTCAGAGGCAAACCTCCTAACCATTGAGCCGCTGTTTTTCAGTAATTTATACTACTAGCAACAGTTATTCGATTAATATAGGAAGTTTATTTCCTTTAATCTGGTCGAGTGCTCTGTACACTGCGCTCCAAATGGCTAACAGTGGTTAATAGTAACATGTAGGAGCCGCGCCTGTGAAGTTATATGTTTGCCATACGGGAACTGATTTTCCTAAAAAAATTAGGAATTTCGTGCGGTGTTACTTGATACAGTGAGATGGTGGTTGCAAAAGTAAATGGTGTATTTTCATATCACACTTACACTGAACTTATATTTTTGCAAACGTTTAGGTACAAATTAGTAAAGAATCGCTTTCAAACATCTCTCAAAATAGTTAACCCACTAATGTTCATTTTAAATAATCAATACAAATAATTAAAGATTCGAAAACGAGCAACCATCGTATAGGTGCCCCAATCCTCATCATCTTGTTTATATGCAAATGTGTTAGGCTTTTTTATAGTATATTCTAGATTCTCTAGGTTATGCATGCAGTCGGTATCCACTACTTGCTAATTGCTATCCTTGATCCTCATTTTAACCCTTAAGATGAGACTATTGAAATTATCCATCTTATATTCAACTTTCATCCTTTTTGACTCACCGCGTTTATCAGTGCACTATAGCAGGTATCCTCTGTACCAGAATACTTTTGGGCACAATTATTCTACTCTTCAAACACCTATTAGAAGTTGCATTTTGATATTCCATTTCGTTGAATATTAAGTTGGGTGAATGGAAACTTAACCTTTGGGAGGCAAGACTAGATTAACTGCTTGACTTCCGCGTTTTGCTCGTTCTAGACCCAAAGTCTTTTGAAGAATGAAAATACCCCCGAACAAGAACCAGAGGAAACAAACAACAATAGACCCGCCTCTCCGGATCTTATTAATTTGCAGGACATGAAACTTGATGACGAAGAAATAAAAGAAATCGGGGAGAGATGGAAATCAAGCAAGTATTTGCAGACTTTTCATCCACAAAAAGCCCAATAATTCATAAATAAAAGATACAAATAAGAAGATTAGTGAACCTTTGCGCCCAACCGTACTGTTTTCATGTTATTTAATACCACGTTTTCCCATTCTCATTATGTCCATATTCAAACCTGCGTACTATTTTGCATTTGCTTTTAAAATATCTTGTGTTCCAGTCACGGGAAGTGCTCAGAAAGAAGTTTATATTTGATTCTATTCGTTAGCATATCAAATAAATGGCCAAGGCGAATAGAAATCGAAGCTCCTGATGATCTTTGTTGGTTTGGAGTAGGATTTCAATTTGAAAAGCAGGAGTTTAATGAGCCTGCTTCCCAGAAATGTTATTTAATTTAGTCAGCCTCTAGTGCTACCAGCTAGGAAGACTTTACATTTAATTCGCAGCTGCATTTTGATTTGGTGTCTTATCGTTAGACCCTCCAGCCTTGCTAATTAATATTGTTGTTATGCGTCTATTACCTTACATGGACCTTCAGCGGTCCACAGTTTGTCATTCGTCTTTCACGCCAAAATGTTTATTTAGCAGTATATTCTGTATTTTAGAGCCCCAAGCACTAATAAAGTCTATTTCCTTTGCGGAAAAGGCAATGGTTTCCAACAGTGGATCGGAGAGCCAAAGGAGTTTGGTAAGATCAATAACTATTTGTGCATGTTCTCCGGCATTTTCAGTAGGAAATTAAATAGTTATAGAATTTTATTAATAACGTGGACTTAACTGCGAGATATAACGTTGTTTAATAAGAAGAAATGTGGTAAGATGTTAGTCATTAATTCAAGGAGTTCATCAATAACCGATAGGTATTTACTGACAGAGCAATTGATATTCGCGTGACAGAATGCATCTGAGATCGTGGCAGTGAATGATGTATTTTTCACTGTGCAAATCTCTTGATATATTTCGGGTTACGGCTTGCATAGGAATAAAATACTCGCTCAAATGTAAATTACAATACTAAAACCGACTGGCAACAAGTTAGTACTTGTGTGGATCCTACCAACTATCTGATCGGCCAACTAAACTGTAGATGTGTTTGAGTTGATTGCCAAATTGTAAACAAAAAATGGAGAGCCAGGTAGGATTTGGAACCGCGACAGGGCTTTGGAGTGCGGTCAACTCTCCAATCAGCTGAACTATGAGGTTGTGGCTGAGAACCCTGACCTCTTATATTTGGGTTAAGTTCCTGTCCAAGCTGTTGACATGCATGGACTTTATGCATTCAGGTGCTATGGTAGGCTGCTCGAGCTGGTTTTCCTGTGCAGTAAACTTGCATGCCACCAGGAAATTTGCCCAAACTGGCATAGAGAGATCTAACGTAGGGAGATGGGTGGAGCAGACCTTGGCCGCTGTGAGGGTGGGTGGGAACGCGATGGAGACGCGTCACCTTTGTCTGCCAGCACCATCACATTGATTAGGCTGCACAGGTCCTCTCGGAGTCCATGTCTGATGTCAATAACTTCTTCACTCACGAGGGTTGAAGATCTCGGCAGCCAAGTCGTCCGTCACTGTTTTCACACTGGACCCGAAGGAGTTCAATGGCCACCCGGCCATCACCGTCAACGGTGCGTCTTTACCACTGGTACGTAAGCCGAAGCTCCTTGGCGTCCGTTTCGATCCTCTCTTCACGTTTGCAGACCATGTGAGGGAGGTCGCAAGCAAAGTGAGCCGCTGCACCAAA